TCCATTCACGTATGGCGTTTGCGTTTCCCGTGCGGAAGACCGCAGGGGCACGCAAACGATTTTACAACTGCATGGATTCCGCTCGTTTGCGGCTATTACTATATCCATGAACGTGTGGATTCCACCAAAGAATCACGCTTGTACTATTTTGCGGGACGCGTAGTTACGTACTGTGCGGCCGCTGCAAAAGCCTGAACAATGCACATTAAAGAGCTTTGTTTTTTATGTTAAGAGCTGTTCCGTGCATAGAAGTACGGCCGAATACACGCAAAATGTATATTTTGGTGTCTGAAATATAAACTTTTCATCACTTACCGTGTTTCCCCCGAAAATAAGACACGTGTAATGGATCAGAGCAGAGAGGCAGCTCCCTCCTCGGGGTAGGTCTTATATTACAGAAATCCCCGAAGATAGCACTAGGTCTTATTTTCGGGGTAGGTCTTTCGGGGAAACGCGGTAGTGACCAGATCTTATACCTTGTGTCTGCTGCCTAAATATTCTTCTGATGAGCCTCTGCTGCTGCCTCATAGGCTCTGTCAATGACTTTCCTTGTTATGATGGTAGTTTTATTCTCATCTTGGGTGTAATGCTTTACTAGACCGGAATCGCTGTTCTGCAAAACACGCAGTTGGGTTGTGTGTTATATGTGGCAGCAGCACAGGCCTAAGGATCTATCTTAAGGTCACCTGTGCTGGAATATGTTGACTGCTTTGGCTGACCTTGTTTCCTGGAATTGCTGGATACCTGGCAGTTAAGTGGAGCTGAAGGCTTTAAGGGTTAGTTCACACCAGAAACTGCATCACAACTGTGTGCGTCTGCGCAGTTGCATTGCGATCCGTTTTTGATGCGTTCCGATTAGTTGTTTTTTTTTTTTTTTTCTACTCAAATGCTAATTAGACAATTAGGTCACTTCCTTTTTCCTGTCAGAGCATTTCCTTTGTTTTGGAGCTCAGACATGCTTGTTTTCTTGGCAGGCATGGTGATGGTGTTGGCTGTACCTACAAAGAGCAAGTCCCTCGATGACACAATCAATTCTCTGTTTTTTTTATTTGTTTTATGCATTTTGATACGTTCCGGCGCAATCAGATGCAGCTAAAATAGGACGAGCAGTATTTTTTCTGACCATCTGAACGGACTGCAATGGTGTGAATATAGCACAAGAAAGTCCATAGGAAAGCATATGGTGTGAGCTAACCCTAATATTCCTAACTATTTAAACCTACATTTTGTTCAGGTCAGTGCTTTAAAAATAAAGCTAAACACAGCCTTTCTAGAAAGTCAGCAATGGCAGCCCCTGTTCTTTGCTCATTACTTGTGTCCTTTAAAATGTATGTAAACCCTAGCAGTGAACTTCTCTTTGCTCACTTTTGGTCTGAAAATGTTTGTTCTATCTGTTCAATATCTAAAAAAAAGTTCTTGCCAGAAATCCAGTGAGCTGATGACCTGTCAGCATCGAGCACAGAAAGTTATTCATTAACGTTGCCCTGTGGACTACAGAACACCTCTCCTTATGTTATAGAGTGAGAAAAGTGGTCTATAGTCCTAACACACTTCTTGGCCAAGGGTGACAACACTGTGCATCCAATACAGTATGATGAGTGTGTGTCACCCTAAGACAGGAAGTGTGTTTCTAGCATGATTACCAGGTGAAAAAACAAATGCAACTGTAGCAGCTAAGGCTGGTAAGCTGCAATATATTACGTTTTTTGTTCATTGGGTTTGGATAAACTTTAAGTAGTCATTAAGTGTTGTATTAGTGCAGGTCTGATCATTCCCCAAGTCCCCAACATGTAACATCATATAAACATCTTGAAGTCTGACAACCAGTCGATAAAAGAAGATGCATATATGATGAATTCTAATTGTCTGGTGAAAAGAGCAGGAACACTATTCATTACATATGTGCTTGTACGCAATCAGATGTTATCATGATCAACTTTTTCAATAATCGATTATAATCGATTATGTTGATTAGTTGTTGCAGCCCTAATTCTGTCTTATTGATTATGTAAACTAACCCTGTTGATTGACTGAAAACAAGCAGATACCTGCGTTTGGATAATCCTTGGGGCCCTGATTTCTGCTTTTCTTTCATGACTTTTTTTTTCCTTTCTCCTTTCCACCGTTATCTTTGGTTCCAGGGGAGTAGGGGGTTTGGGAAGTGGGAGATCCCAGCTTCACAGCTGAAGGTCATGAGATCTGGGAATATAGATCCGCATTAAACATTTTCCACTGATGTTAGGGCAAATTATGAATCAAAGCGTAAATCGATTGACGGTGGAGTTGATGACACTGCATACATCTGCTTCTCATGCAGAACTATGCTTATTTGATTCCTGTGCTGTCAACTCAGTTTTTATTTTATTTTGTATGTTCAGATACATTTTGCGAGAATATTGATTCTGTTGCTTCTGTACATTAAAGGAGAAGTATGGGGTTAAGGATTTTCCCCATAGCTCTCCTTAGGGTAACGGGAGGACGCAAACTAGTGTCCTCCCGTCACCCTAGGCTCAGTATACCGCGAGCTACAGCTTGTGGTATACTGAGACGCCGCAGCCGGAGCGGATCCCGACAATTGTGATGGGATCCGCCCAGCTGCGTGACTGACAGCTGGCTCTGCCTATCTAAAGGCAGAGCCAGCTGTACCCGCCCCCTCCCCCGTCCGTTCCACCAGTCAGCGCTGGAGGATCGGAGCGGGGAGGCGGTAATCCAGCCCCTCCCCTGTCAAGGCAGAGAGCTGTGACAGGATCGAGAGGTGAGTGAACGCCGGTATGTGTTCGCTCGCCTCCCAATCTACTGAGCCGACCTGTGACAGTCTCATGTCGGCTAGAACTATGAGGTGAGTGAAAAGCACTCGCCTCATAGTTTTCCTTTAAGTGCAACAAGCTGATGTTTTGTCTTGGCTTTGAACCAAGTCCCTGCCATTTTCTTAGGAATCTGATAACTCCTACTGCCTTCTCACAAATATATCATAATAATTATAGACATTTTGTGCAAATTTGTCAGTTTTGTCAGGAAGTGATAGGAAATTTTTCCAATGTGGACACATTTTTAGTTGGGACATTTTAAAACTTCTAAAAATGTTTTTATTAGGGATGCAGCGATACCGGTTTTTCGGGAATGTGTACCGATTTTTATCTGTCGGTACTTGCCGATACCGGTACGGATACTTACCGATTAATCGAACTTAATAATCGGCTAACTAATCGATTTTGAAAATAATCGTTAGCTGCAGCTCTAGTAAGAATCCAAGCATTTGAGCGAGTACGAGTCGGGCGGGGTGTCACTACCTGCCACCCGACTTCTTGATTGCCAGGTAAGCTGGCTTCATGCTAATTGACTTGGAAGCTGGCCAATCAGGAAGCCGGGAGGCGGGTCATTACCCGTTGCCCGGCTTCCTGATTGGCTGGGAAGCCAGCTTCCTGTCAAAAAAGCATGGAGCCAGCTTCCCAACCATCAGGAAGCCAGCTCCATTTTCCCTCGCAGCACTGCCTGTCAGAGGGAGATTTCCTCTGACCTACAGTGCCGGTATCGGGGGTAAGAATCCAAGCATTTGGGCGAGTACGAGTCGGTACTTCCCTAGTTTTTATTGCTGTCCATGCCTTCTGTCCTTGTGACCACTGCACCTTCATTACCTGTGTGGTGGTCACATGACAGCAATTAGGAAAGATCTCCAAAATAGGGTCATACATTCAAGTTTGTGACTTGCTGAAAAGCCTTGTTCACACCAATTGTGGTGCGTTCCAGATCGGTAGCTGCTGGAACATACCGCAATCGCTCACAAAACTTCCCCCTATGTTCCGGGGCGGCAGGGGGCATGGCGGTGCATTTAGGTCAATGGCACCACAGCCCCGCCCGCAGTGCGATCGGACGCATGGCAAAACATTGCCTACGTTCCTTTCCACTGCAAACGCAAAAATAGAGCATGCAGCTTAAATGCACCGCCACGCCCCCTCCCACCCCAGAACGCAGGGGGAAGTTTTGTGCAGCAGCTACCACTCTCGAATGCACTGCAGTTGGTGTGAGCAAGTCCTTAAGGTAAGGATAACACCAGCCCACAGTTGGTACTTTCAGAAACAATTCAGCAATGTTAGTTCCTATTTTTCTATCCTGACAATAGGCAACAGGGAGGGTCGTCTTATTTATTATGAGGAATGCTGGAACCCCGTAGTGTGAGAGATATGCTAGTTGCCTGGACATCATGCAGATCCAGTGGTTCATGGCTCAAAGTAAGTGCATCTTGCCTTTTTGCCCCATTCTCATGGTCTAACGCAGACTAGTCTCCTTTTCCACAGATTCATACTTATCATGATCCGATGGTCACAGCTCCGCTTTTTATTTATATCCAGCACCGCAAGTCGTCTTCACTGTGCTGGCTGTGCTTGTGTGCTGCAGACCGTCTCCTGGACCGGTACATAGACACGGCCCCATAGAAGTCTTTGGGGCTGTAATGCACAGAGGCAACCAGAACAGCGAATTGGTAATGGACGTAAACAAGCTGCAGCTGTATGCATCTCCGGAAGGCTGAGAGTGGGTTGTTAGGTTAGGCCAGGCGAACGGGGAAAAAGGCTAAGTGCTCTTATCCTTTAATATCTTCTTAATCACTAACCTATAATAGTCAGAGCCCCTAATTTATGGTCCGGAGACTCCAAAAATGACAAACTATTGAATCAGCTTCACAGCTAAGTAAATAGCATTTTTAGGTAGGGAAGTTTAGTAAGGACATAAGCTGTCCACTCACAAGACTTCTGGCAGGTCAACAGGCGCTTATGGAACAGATATAACAATGCGTTCTGTGGTAGATTTTACAGACAATAAGAACAGATCATTGTTCGGTTTCACATTAAGTTGAATTTAGGGTTCATAAGGTTAAACTTTCAAATCTCAGCAGCCTTTACGCTTTAGCTTTTTTGTGTTTTAATATGTGAATGGTTTCTACCAGAAAATGGTTTTGAATTACATATTTAATATTTAAGCTAACAAGATATTCCTCTTTGCAGATGATGACTTTGATCAATTTGATAAGCCTGGCGCAGAAAGGTCTCGAAGAAGACGACCTACAGATGATGACTGGGACAGGTAGTTACACATATCTCTGAAGTGCTGTACAAGGCTTTATATTATCACTCTATTTGAAGGCATTTTGTATTCCAGTCTTAGTTTCTGGGTAAATTCTGAATCTAATGAAGATGTCATCGTGCGTGTGTCATCGTGCTTGGGAAATGCATGTTATGCCTAGAGATACACAAGAACACTCTACAGACGCGGTTTAAATGTTAATGCTCCACAAAAATGTTCTATTCGGCCATAGGATAACACTACCCATTAAATCTGAAAAGTATCCACTTGTAATTTGAGCAGTTTCCACAAGTCCTGCGTGATATATACAGTCAACCTCCGAAATTCGCGGGTGTTGCGTTCCTCGAGCACCCTGCGAGTTGTGAAAAACCGTGAATTTTGAATATGGTAAAAAAAATGCCTATTTTTATATTTAAAACACTAAATATGGCCACAAAATACTTTAATTTAATTTGAAACTCAGCTTAATACATTACCTTTAAAAAAAAAAGAATGTAAAGGTAAACCCGTATACTGTACAGTACTGTACTGCTATGTATCCCGCAGTGCTAGAATGTAAAATACCGATGTTACCCCTATAGGTACTGTAATTCATGCAAGCGTGTTTTCTTTGGTATGCGCTGTCGTTGTCTTTGGTATAAGTAGGGTAAATACAGTAATAATTTAATTCAATAATATATATACTCTTAATTAATTTAATTATTTGGTTTGAAGGAAAAATACGCGAATGACTGAAGCCACCAACTCTGAACCGCGATTTCGCGGGGGTCGACTACATACATTAAAGGAGAACTATGAGATGAGTGATTTCCACTCACCTCATAGTTCTAGCGACCTGTGACAATGAGACTGTCACAGGTCGGCTCAGTAGCTCGGGAGGTGAGCAAACACATACCGGATTCGCTCACCTCTCGATCCTGTCACGGCTCTTTGTCGTGACAGGGGGAGGGCTGGATTCCCCTCTCCCCGCTCCGATCTGCCAGCGCTGACTGGCGGAACGGACAGGGGAGGGGGCGGGTACAGCTGGCTCTGCCTCTAGATAGGCAGAGCCAGCTGTCACTCACGCAGCTGGGCGGATCCTGTCATCTACGTCGGGATCCGCTGCGGCGTCTCAGTAAACCGCGAGCGTATATATGAGCTTAGGGTAACGGGAGGGCGCTAGTTTGTGTCCTCCCGTTACCCTAAGGAGAACTATGGGGAAAAATACTGACCCCATAGTTCTCCTTTAATTACCATTTTGTTGTTTAATCTTGAACAGAATTGTTCAATAAGGCAGTTATTTGGCCCCCTGGTCTGCATTTTCTGCTATCCTTCCTTTTTAATGACAAATTCTTAGCCACTTAGCCAAATACATGTGTTTCATGTGTTTTCACAAGTGGGGCTAAATTCTGGGGGCAGATTGCACTAGAGACTTGCAATTGAAAGCAGATCAAGTATTTCAGATTGGAAGGCTGACTGGTTTATTGCTCCGGCATGCCAAGCTGTTCTAGAAACAAGAGGTGCACCAAAATGGAATATTCGAAACCGAAATAAAGAAAATTGTCAGGCCGAAAATGTTTTTTATTTTAATGTTTTCAAATTATTTTAATATTTAATTTTTATAAACTTTTTGATTGTTTTATATTTATTATAATTCATTTTTTATTAAATATTTACATTTTGATCTTTACTTTTAGGGGCTTTGGGGAAATATTAGGGGTCTAAACAGACCCCTGATATTTCCCTTTTGAAATAGAAAAAGAGAGAGGACATAAGGTCCTCTATCTCTTTTTCTGTATGCCCTGTTACAAATGAACAGGAATCCTCTGAGTGTTCTGTTCATTCATAACATGAGAATATAGTATGTTTACTATAACTACAACTATGAATGAACAGGAGGTGATGTAGATCACTCCCATTCATTCATAATTGAGGATATAGTACACATACCATGTCCTCAATTATGTACAAACCCTCAGCGATCACTGAGTGTTTGTACCGCTTTCCTTGCTGACACGCTGTCACAGGAGGCTGATCGAGCGGCGTATGAAGTAGAGCTCAGCCTCCTGTGACAACGCGGGCTGTCTCCGCCCACACCGCTCTGCCAGACTGTGATAGGAGGCAGAGCGGTGTGGGAGGAGAGACGCCGGCCGCTCACAGCGCTCTCCTCCCGTAGCGCTCGACCGGCTGTCACACATTCTCTCCTCCCCGCTGAGACACAGAGAAGAGCCCAGCGGGGAGGAAAGAAAGCAGGGATGCGCCGATATATCGGCAGGAAAATGGCACTTTCGGCATTGAGCCAAAAGTGTAATTTTGTCCAATATGTTTCGGCAACCGATATATCGGTGCATCCCTATCAGAAACTCATATTAACCTGAAGTTTGATTGGTTTGAATGAGTGATGTGATTTGCAGGCCATTATTGTTTGCATCGAGTTTTTGTAAATTAACCTTGGCATTCTTTGCTTTTGAAGGGAGTACAAAAATCCTTTTTTATAATACATGTTCGAAATACTGTACATATGATGCTGTTCGGCTTTCTAGGGGATTTACATAAGCAACCAGGTTAAGGCTTCCTCATTTTATATTTTAGTGAACACACATACTAATTTTTTTTCCTTTTGTATAAGTTTGTGATGCACCTTAGCAGTTTTAGTACTATTACAACATGCCAGTAATAACATGCATGTTTGTTTTCAGTGAAATGGAGGATGATCTGCTTGAAGAAGACTACTTGCCTGGAAAAAAGGTATTTTAATGAAGATGTCTCCAGAATTTTGTATAGTGTAGAAACATCTTAACACAAAATAATGGAGTTCTTTTGTTTTATCAGGCTTCACCAGACCTTTCTGATGAAGAGCTCAATGATGACCTCCTCCAGAGTGACGAGGAGGAACAGAACCCAGCTGATTATAGGTATGTTTCACTATATTTTTTTTTTTTTGTATGCTAGTAGTCCTGTGCAGGCAAGATTACTGTAGTCCTTTTTGTTAATCTACACATTACATGGCTACTGTGTAAGACACTCACTGCAGCACTACATGTACAGACCATGAAGTAGCTGGTGTTCTGTGGGTGGAGCATATTTTCCCAAATCCCTCCCCCAGGACATTGCCTGTACTACCACTTCACAGTCTGGCAGGAACAAATTCTTGAGCAGAAACTAAAGTTAGTAAAAGATAGCAAATGCATACTGGTTAACCTTTTTAGACAAAACTGTAGGCCATCTGCATTGTCTTGACGGCCACAGTTTTTACACTTCTAGTCTATAGCGGCCATCTCAGTGCTATTCATTTATTATTTATTAAATATTTTTTTTTAATAAAGTCAGCCATTAAAAAGTATCGCTTAAACTACAAACTTTCTGAATGTTTGTTTTTATTAACAAGAAGCAAAAGTTGTATGGCAAAATGCAGAGATTGTTATTAGCGTAACCATGTTGGAGACAATACAAATATACGCTGATGAGCAAGTACAGGAACTGGATAAATACAAAATGCAACTATAAAATTATTAGAAGAGGTAACGTTGGGCATTTTTTGCATTTGCTGACCTGAACCTTTTTGGCACAGAAGACAAAGACTTCAGTAGTTAAGTCTTCTGCTCCCTCCCTTAAGAAAAGCTCCTTTCCCCCATATCAGGTCTCGGGTTCCATGCCCAAGCAGGGCACACAATCCTGGTCCTCCAAGCTCGCTAAGTCCAGGATCAAGCCCTCTTTGCAATGAGTACCATTCTCAGTGCCTGTGTATAGAGTGTTGTAACTGAAGACTACTACAAACTGAAGTTTCGCTTCTTCCTACTTTTCGTTTCCTGTTACCTAGTCTACATGATACCCCTTTAAAAGCGTACACATCTTTTTTTCTGCCTTGGGTTTCCTTCTCTTCCAGGCGCGGTCATAGGCCCCTGTTCCAGGGACAGAAATGTTAGAGATTCTATTCCAACCTCTGCACTGACCCCAAGGACATGTGCGCCCTCTCCTAGCCCATAAGATCCTCAACAGGTCCTGTGGGTCTAGAAGTTTTGTATGGAATTGACCTGCTCTGTCATTGTTTCTCTTTACTTGGGTGGTGTACTGGTCGGTCTTGGTGGACATTAAGTATGCATATTTGCACATCATTTTTCTTTCACCCTGTCGCAACCTGCGTTTTGCTTTGGCCACCCAGCAATTCCAATTTGATGCCCTTTGGTCTCTCTGTGGCACCTGTCGCGGACTGGCTTCAGTCCCAGGGGATCCCCATAATAGGGTTATTGGATGACCTCCTTCTCGGGGAGGTTCTATTGCCACAACATCCAGCAGGCAATGCAGACTTTTGCTTTTATGTGAAGGTTGTTGGGTTGATGGAGGCCTCCTTTTGAGACAATTTAATTCCAGGTCATTGCAGCTGAACAGTTTAGTAGCATAGGACAAAACCGGTTTGGTCCCTGAAACTCCCCATTCAATTGTCCAGCAAAACGAAGCATTCCCTGACCTGGTCAATATCCAACTTAGTGCTCACGTTCGGAAACTCTTTCCTTCTGATGTCTTGGAAGTGCTTAAAAAGGATGGCAGCCAGCCAGCCTGGCTGGGGCGGTGTCCTGGAGTTCCTCTCGGTTAAGGGAACCTGGTAGACTGAAGAATCTCTGATCCCAATAAACTCCTTGGAGCTCAGGGCGATGGTCATGGCTTACATCAACCATCAAGGAGGTACCAGGAGCCGTACAGCTCAAAGGGAAGCCGACCTGGTTCTGGCATCGTGCTGAACTTCACATTCTGGCCCTGTCCACTGTACACATTCCAGGTGTAGAA